TCTTTCAGAAACCCAGATATTCCAGCAATAATTCTCAAACTTCACAGAATCCTGTAAAAATAACTTGAGGGAAAGAATTGAGCCAAAGTGGTCCAATACTTTGATGAGAACCGGTGTAAGGGACAATGACATTGTCAAGTGTAAAAGAACTCACTCTGGTCTACTTTGATATTCATTAAGTGTATGTACATCCACAGGCAGGTGATACTCTGCAGTCTGGAGAAATTTTTCCTCCAAAGTCTTCAGAATTATATAACATAAAAGTTCATTTTAAACCAGTCATGTGGTAGGAGTATTGCAACTCCAGAATACAGCTTCATCTTCATTTATGGATGTTTCCTTTGAGGGTTGAATACCATTGTAGGTAGATATATATTCCACACAAGATCATCCAAATGAAGCTAATGTGTATTTTCATCATCACCTATGGGCTTGAAAGGTTTTAAAGCCATTCTGTTCAAATTGCAACAAATCCCACATGGACTTGGAGAAGCTATGGTGCCAGCATTTTTACAGATGAGCACAGTGGAGCTCAGTGAAATGCAGTAGTAGCTGCAGTCACACGATCAGAAAGACAGAATGGGCTTCCTGATCTGGATCTCGCAGGACAGTTCTGGCTTTGCCCCCATTCACCCTTAAACTTTGTCCTCTCTAGGACATAGCAACCCTCCATATCTGGGCATTATTTTTGGTTTGTCTTTTCCCCTCCCCTTCCACACTGAAAACATCAGCTACACCTGTAGACTCCACGGCCACAACAAACACACACAATATACACAACAGATGGCTCCAGCTCTGTCTGTCTCCATTGCCACCGGTCAAAGGCATCTTTGTATCTTGGTGCACTATTGCATGTGGTTTCTGACTGAGTATCCTGCTTCCAGTCACTCACTGTTCCTTAGAAACCCTTCTCCATAGAGCAGCCAGAGCGGTCTTTATAATAGGCTTAAAGCATTCCGCCGGGCCCTGGCGTAAGCCCTTTTCTCATGCCCAGCTCTCAGACCTGTCGTCCACTCCTGCCCCTTCTTCATTCCTGGCAATGGACCTTGTCCATGCTTTTCAAGGTTGTCGAGATACTTGTCCCCCTCAGGATTTTTGTACCAGTTGTTACATCTTTCTGGAGTGCTCTATCTCCATAGAACATAAAGATTAAAACGATTTTTTTTTTTTCAGGTTGACTGTAGCTTAATATCGCCTCTTTCCAGATTACCCAACATAAAACAGCCTCTCAGTCACTATTGCATCACCCTATTTTGATTCTCAGTATACCTTATATATTTTATAAGCTATACTTGTGATACATATATTTCTTTTTTTTAAAAAATCCCTTTTCTGTTTTGTTCTTCATAGTAGCTTGTGTGATAGTGAGCAGGATGCTCTGCGTTCTCAGAGCCCATTGTGAATGAATGCAGGGGCGACATTATGTCTAATTTTTCTTATCTCACAGCATCATGCTTGCTCATCATCGTCCAGCTTACCGAAATGATAGGAGTTCATCCAGTGGCAAAAGATGCTGACTCTGAAGGCAGACACAGGGTTCAAGTCCCAGTTCGGCCACTCACTAGCTGGGTAACTTTAGACAAGTAAATTTCTCAGAAACTCAGTTTCCTCTTCTCTCAATAGATAAGGCTAATAATAGCACCCACTTCATAGAGGTGGTGAGATAAGGAAATGTGTGAACATGGCAATGGTGAGGAAGCACGCAGAACCCTGCCTGCTGTGCAGTAAGCACCAAGTAAGTGCCAGCCATTCTGACCATAGGGTGTGTGTAAGTATTTATATCCATTTAGTTTTATTATATATAAAAACATTTATTGCTTTTATGACTTACATCTATCTACATTATATATATATAGTGTTAGCAATTTTTAATTCTATTATTTGCTAGAGTAGGAAATAAAATGAGCTACAAGATTTGAGAAATACCATAAACAAAAAATGCCAGACACTTCTTTCGTAGCTGCCTTGGTTACAGATTCAGACCGATTCCCCTTTCTGGTCTTTCACCCCCGTCTTCCTTCCTCCCTCCCTCCCACTTTCTCTTTCCATTTTAAATAGATTTTTATTTAGTGTAAGAAGACTCAACGTGAGATCTACCCTCAACACATTTTCAAGTGCACAGTATTGTTAACTACAGGTGGCATGTCCAGCAGATCCCTAGAACTCACTCTTCTTGTATAACTGAAACTTTATGTAACATTTTTGATGAAGTAAACAGCAGCAGCAGAACATGCTGTTATGGCAAGCGTCCTGCAGGTGGCAGCAGAGGTCTAAGTTTTGGGAAATACTCCAGGGTTCTTGCAGGCACGAACCCTGGAGTATTGTGAAGGGGGTGAGAAAAGTGATCCCAAGGGCCTGTTTTTGTATCTTAAAATTCCCTTTCATTATTGTTGCTGGGAAGGGGTGTGTCATGATATTTCGGGAAGTTGCTCTAATGCAAATGACATCTGGGAAGCTGGAGGCAGCTATTATTCATTAAAACCCCAGGCAAAAATGAGAGCATTAGCTCATTAATAGGACGCAAGGAAGTGGAACCGGTGGTGGAGGTGAGATAGAGGGCGAGTAGCAGGAAGAAAAGCTTTTGAGTTTGGGCGGGCACGTCCTTTGGCCCCAGGACTCCTTGATCGGCAGGGAGGGGCGCAACTGGGGAAAGTCAGAACCGAACCCTCTAAATAGGAGGGCGGGGTGGGCACAGAACAGACCTCCCCTCTTGTGTGGGTCTAAGACAGTGAACGCCTGAAGAAATCTCATCCATAAGCTTTGGATAGCATGTAGATTTCTTCAGCGTCCCGTGTACCAATCAGAGTCTGTATCTTAGATCAGCGGAGTAACAAAATGGGTAAAAGGGGACTGGGAACGTTGTTGTCAAGGGTTCAAATAGTCACGCTCTCCAACTGCATGTGAAATACTTCAAATCGACCACCAGAGGACAGTATTGACCCACAAAATGCTTACGCCCAAGGTTCCATCTTGTAAACTAAGAGGAACTCTACGATTGCAGGCATTTCCTATTTGCAGTAGACATCGGAATTAGGCTTGTAAAATACAATAATTCGCACGTTCCCAGAAGTGAGCACTACCTTCGTTGTCGTCGTCGTCATTGTTAGTGGAGCTGCTTAGGTATACTTCAGTTATTGTTTTGGGGAGATGGGAGTGTGGAAGTTGTATTGTCTGGGATTTTGTACGTTTTATGCTTCAGAATTATGAGTGGAGGGAACTTAAGCATCTTGAGAGTTGATGTATAACATCCCCGCGTCCAGAATGCAACAACTCTGCCAAACTGCAAGACAAAAACAACATAAAACTGTTTAGTTCACAATTTTCCCTTGGATTTGCAGCCTATAGGTTTTTCCTAAAAGCATAAAACAAAATGGTTACAAAATATGGTTTATATGGCTTACATATTTTATAACCATTTCTGTATAAAATAGCTCTCTGGTTACTGCATTTATATGGTTGAAGAGTTTGCGAAGGTGACTATCAAATGAGAGAGTATATGTAAATTACCTAGCACAAGCCTCACACATAGCAGGGATTATGATAAAGGGAAGCTATTGTTCCATTTATTAAGAAGAAAAAATAAATTAGGGAGTAAGTGCCACAGCCCTATACCAGTGCAGTACAGGAGCAGCCAGCGAAATTCCAGGCTGTTGCTTTAGTGGAAACATTACAGGGTGAGCGGTCTGCTATGCCTCCCTAGCTGCTTGTCAGGGCCTGAGAAACAACTTAGGGCTACCCTTCAACAGACATGCAGACCACAGTTCAGCAATGAACCATTAATACCTTCTGAGAATAGCGAATCCATATCTTTCTATTTTTCTCAATTTGGATTAAATCTTCAGTGCAAATTTTAAAGAACACTTCTGAGGGCACCTTTTTCTGGGATCAATGTAGCGTCTAGTTTCTTTGAGAGCATCTGATAGCCACAGTGACATTGAAGCTTCAAGATGCTATTGGACAAAATAGGGCATAACAGGCAAAGATGAATGGACTAGAGACTGGAATCATCCAACTTTCACCATCTTTTCTTGTTTATATTTCTTCCTCCCCCTAGTAGCCATAGCTTCCTTAAATTATTAAGCAGGATCTCTTGTTTGGACCAATTCAGATTGCAGTCATTCATCAAATCAATTTCTCTCTCTCTCTGTCTCTCTGTCTCTCTCTCTGCTTTCCTTCCTTCCTTCCTTCCTTCCTTCCTTCTTTCTTTCTTTCTTTCTTTCTTTCTTTCTTTCTTTCTTTCTTTCTTTCTTTCTTTCTTTCTTTCTTTCTTTCTTTCTTTCTTTCTTTCTTTCTTTCTTTCTTTCTTTCTTTCTTTCTTTCTTTCTTTCTTTCTTTCTTTCTTTCTTTCTTTCTTTCTTTCTTTCTTTCTTTCTTTCTTTCTTTCTTTCTTTCTTTCTTTCTTTCTTTCTTTCTTTCTTTCTTTCATCTTTTTTTCCTTTTCCTTCTCCTTCCTCCTTCTTTTCCTCTCTTTCTTCTCTCCCTTCCTCCCTACTCCTCTTTTTATTCTTGGCACCTAATGCCTTTCTAGTTATCATATTCCATTCAGTTTAGGTCCAAACATCAGAAGCACTTAACTTCTTAGTTTTTGTTATGGGCTGAATTGTGCCCTCCACCCCCTATTCCGATATTGAAGACCTAACCCCCCAGTACCTCAAAAGGTAACTTATTCGGAAATTGGGTCTTTCAAAAGGTAGTGAAGGTTAAATGAGGTCGTTGGGGTGGGTCCTAATCTAATGACTGTTGTCCTTATAAGAAGAAATTTGGGCACAGACAGGTACATAGGAAAGGCCATGTGAGGAGGACACAGTGAGAAGTGGACACCTACAAGCCAAGGAGAAAGTCCTTGGAAGGAAACAGCCCCGCTGACACCTCAATCTTGGACTTCCAGCCTCCAGACTGTGAGACAGTGATTTTCTGTTGTTTAAGCCGCCCAGTCTGTGGTGCTTGGTTACAACAGCCTAGGAGACTAATATATCCTCTTTGATGCTTCTTTTTTTATTTTTAACATGGACTATTTCTGGAATGTGTGCCTCATCCTCATGCAGGGGCCACGTTAACCCTCTCAGGATCGTTCTGATTTCAGTGTGTGCGCTGCCGAATTAGCGCTCCCCTTAGATTCTTTAATCCCCGAATTTACCCGTTTTTTTTTTCTTTTCTTTTTTTTTTTAATTGGCTTTCCTGGACTCCGGGTCTCACCCTGCCGTTGCCACACTCCACCGTTGGTGACCGACTGCTTTGACCCGAACGTGAGAGACAGTGGGCCACGGCCTTTCTGAACAGCTTCACGTGCATCTGACAGGCACAGCACACTCATTTTCCTGTTTAATTTCACTGTGTGTATATCAGCACGATCAGGAGATGGGACACACTTAAAACCAGTGGTGTGTCGGGTGGCGAAGAAAGGAGGCCACAACCAAAGAGAACACTTTGGTCTAAAACATTCCCTTACGGTTCTGCTGGCAAAACTTTTCTCCCTCAATACAATGGACACGTGTCTACAGAGCTCATTCAGATTTCCGTGTTTGGGTGAGAATATCGAAATACTGTAGATGGCAGCATGACATTAGGCATGATTATTTTAGAGCAAAACCACCATGTCATTGTCCCACTTTACTTTTTTTCCCTTTTTTTCTTTTTTCCTAGTGGGCAAGTTACTGGAACCTTTAAAAAAAAAAACGATTATTTATGGTGAAAACTTGGAAAAGCAATCATGCCTGTTTTTCAAGTTCACTTCCATGGCCTGCACCACAGAGTGCCAATCAGCAACATCCCCTTGAAAAGCCCCTGGGCGAATACTTTGTTATTCTAGCTACCCACTTGGAGAATCCCAGCATTAGATTTAAACATATTTTGAAATTAAACCTCAGAGATATTCCCAACCTTCTTCCAAGTTCCTAAAGATAAATTTCCCAAATGATGGCAAAGAAATAATTATTTTCAGGACGTAGGGCAACAAAAGGCAGACTGAGCTTTTAGACAGAGGCAAAGGTGTTATTCTGTAATGGGCATACGGACACAGTGCAATTTCCCCCACTTATTTTCTAATCAGAGCAAATAGTTGTTTCAGGGAACTCTAAGAATGACTGTTTTTTTGTTTGTTTGTTTGTTTTTCTTCCCCCCCCCCCCAATCTGAAATTCCAAACCAGGAGTCAGCAAACTTTCTGTTACAGGTCCAGATAGCAAATATTTTCAGCTCTTTGGGCCACATAGCCTGTATCTCAACTACTTTACTCCGCAGTTGTTCACTGAATGCAGTCACAGACAATACTTATGCAACGATACTTTATTTACAAAAGTGAGCAGGCAAATTTGGCTGTGGGCAATAGTTTGCCAACACTTGCTCTAGACTGGACTTGCTGCCTTTCTGAAGAAAACTATCTCTGTGTTGGATTTGACTTCTATAGACCTTTTGCCTACCCTTGCTTTCTTCTTCTTCTTCTTCAAAGCTGCTACTTTCTACGTATGTTTCAACCATGATTTTGTGTTATGTTTTCTGTAGTTAAAATGTCAGGTTGGATGGAGTCAAGAACTGACTCTTGAGCTCCATGTTGGAGATGAGTCTAATCATTATGTTGGCCTGGGTATATCTCATTTTTTTCTTATTTCTTCACATAGCACCATCTAGTTTGGGCTCAGTCTTAGGAATAAGGGTTAGGACTTGAGATTGTGCTTGGCACTGGTCCAGTAAGTATGAAGGTAATGGAGCAAATGCTTTTCAGGTACCTTGGAGGTGAATTATGTGCCTGTTAACAGAACAACCAGCTTAGGGAATAAATTACATTTGTAATTATAGTAGAGGTCATGTATGTATACTTTTATGAACAGTTCCCTGTGTGTTACAAAATACATTAAACAGTCCTCAAAAAGGCTATGCATTTATTAATAGGCAGGTTCCACAGGTGCTAATCCAAACATGGTTCACTTAGGGCCACTTGCCAATGTCGAAGCTCTGGCTGAAGATGGTCTAGATATGGATAATGCTGACAAGTCTGTGGAAATCGGCAAACATGACCTCCTCAAGGTGACTCGAGGCCAACCTGAGCCCTGGGCGACCCTAGGCTCTTTTGCTTCTTGAAGAGATTCCCTCGAGAGGATTGACCTGCCAGGTTATTTTTCACCTATCGAGACTGGGGCAGACCCCAGAAAAATAAAGCAAGTCATCTCCAGGAATTCACCCTGGGGCACGTAGAGATGGAAGGATGCTTTTTATGGCTTCTGGCCTCACTTTATACTTAAGCTCATAAGAACATTATAGGAATGAAACTGAGGCTGGTTAAAGACACCCCTTCTCACACACAAAACTCCCTCAAACTACACTTTGTATGAACATAGTTGGTATGAATTAATTTATGAATAAACCTATCATCTGTATGTGGACTATGATACCCACTGACTGAAAAGGAAGCAGAAATCTGTGTTTGATCTTCAAATATTGACGTGCACTCATTTAAATTCCAGCTCTCGTTAAGAAGTAAAGACATGCCAGAGGCTTACCTGTACAATCAAGGACTTTGTATGTTTTCGTATTTCTTGACAGTTTGGAAGTCTTATTGCCTAGTCTGGGCTGCATAAATAGATAAAACTGAACAGAGAAACCTGCTTCAGGAACCAGCCTTGGAAAGTGTGGTTGCGAAGATATAGCTAGGCTTTTTGTAGGGGGTGTTTCCATTGTAAAAATACTCAAAGGACCAGAAAAGTGAATTCACATGAAAAGCATACATTAGGTGCTTGGAAAGTGTGCTTTCTATAGATGGGCTGCGGAAAAGCGTATCAAGAGCATTCTCCTGGGAAGACCTGAGAATTTGCTCAAGGTGTTGAGATGAAAAGTACTGCTAGCTTGTTTTACTTATTGACTGAAACTGGATGAAAAGAGGAAAAAAATCCAGCAGATGATACAAAGTGGACTTTTTCTTATGCTCCGTGTAGTTTTTTGGGGAAACACTTTCCATTTCCACCCTTATTTGGCAACCTTTTAAGGTATGTTATCACTATGTACCTAAACATTTCTCCTCGCTTCTAGAACCGTGCTGGGCAGTACTGTAGCCACTTGCTCCATGTTGCTGTTAAGTACTTAAAATATGGCTACTGTGACTGAGGAACTGAGTTGTTAATTTTATTGAATTTCAGGTACTTTAAATTTAAATAACCACATGTGGCTAGTGGCCACCTCATTGGGGCAGCACAGACATAGAACATTTGCATTATCAAAGAATGTTTTGTTTACACAGCCTCTGTTCTAGAGTGTGACATCAAATTTTTGCTCACAGAATTATTTTCAATATTGTAGAGTTAGTTTTCTTCCAACTGAGAATGTTTAAAAAAGAATGCTATGACAAATGGCCAACAAATATATGAAAAGGTGCTCAACATCACTAGCTATTAGGGAAATGCAAGTCACAACCACAATGAGATCCATCTCACACCTGTTAGAATAGCTATAATCAACAGGACAAGTAATAACAAATGATAGAGAGGATTCGGAGAAAAAGAAACCCTCATATATTGCTGGTGGGACTGCAAATTGGTACAGCCTCTATGGAAAACAGTATGGAGGTTCCTCAAAAAACTAAGAATTGATCTACCATATGATCCAGCAATCCCTCTATTGGATATTTACCCCAAAGACTGGAAAACTCATATCCAAAAAGATATTTGCATACCGATGTTCATAGCAGCGTTATTCACAGTGGCCAGGACATGGAAGCCACTGAAGTATCCTACGATAGATGATTGGCTAAAGAAGCTGTGGTACATATATATAATGGAATATTACTCAGCCATAAGAAGAGATGAAATACTGCCATTTGTGACAACATGGATGGACCTCGAGATAATCATGCTAAGAGAAATAAGTCAATCAGAAATAGTTGAAAATCACATGATATCACTTATGTGTGGGATATAAATCTAAAAGCAACAAATGAGCGGGACAAACAAACAGAGACTCATGGACATGGACAATGGACTAGTGGTTACCAGAGGGTTAGAGGTGGGGGAGGAAGGGAGATGTAGATGGGGTTAAAAAGAGGGTCAAATATAGGGGGGTGGGAGAAGGCGAAGTGGGTAAAGGGGATCAAATATATGGTAGCTGAAGGAAACTGGACTTTGAGTGGTAATCACACAATAGAATATATAGATGTCAAATTATAATGTGCACCTGAAAATTATATAATTGTATTAACCAATGTTAATACTTAAATAAATGAAAAAAAAAAAAGAATGCTATGAAGAAGACAAACAACTCCCATTTTCTTCAGACCTCACTAGCGCTTGCTCGAAACTTCCTCCCACCACCCCCTGCCTCTGTTCTGAGTAATTCTTTTTATTTTTATGTGTAACGTTTTGTATTTAGGTCCTTTTAATGTAGTTAAATATAATATTTTAATTCCAGGAGACACTTCCTTAATTAGTTGTGCTTGAAATGTCCTCACTAATCTTTAGTGTAATAACTGAGTGGCCAATTCCATATGTTCCTTTGGGGAAGGGAACCTGTTTCCTTTATTTGTGGCAAACAGGAAAATGCTGTAGTTTAGCAATAGAAAATTAAGAGGGAGGAAGCTTTTTAGATCTTCAAAATGGAGTCAGGAATGTCCATGTCAGATTATCTTGCTGCTCTTTGTAATTTCTCAAGAGGATATCTGTGAATATCTAATTTAGGCTTTGTCGTGTGTATATGAGGAGGGGAGCTGTCTCACTTGAAGTACACATTAGCTTCAGGAAAAAGAGACCTTCATTTTTTAGTCATGGTTTATAACCTAGTGTAAATATATTTCCGGTTGTAGCTAATGATCTCAGAATAGTCATATACCATCAAAATGGTCACAATGGCCATTTTCTTTTTGAGAATTCTATCTGGAAAAACAATTTGAAAGCAAAATTCATTAAAATTACTAGGAAGCAAGCTCCCTGAGGGCACCAATGCTGTCTGTTGTGTCCCCACTGTAAACCCAAGTGTCCCCAAAGTGCTTGTGCTGTCCTTGGCTTCTATTGCACAAATACATTTAAATGTGAGAGTTAGTTCGTGTATAATTATGGGGTGAGGAATGCTATAAATGCAGAAATGTTGGGAGTCAGGGCCATCTCTGGATGACTTTCCTAAGCCCTAC